GCTGGTATTCTGATTAATCTCCCTTGGTAAGTGGTCTTTCCCTTCTCTATCACTGCCTTTAAGATTTTTTTTTTCTTTCCCTTCTCTATCACTGCCTTTAAGATTTTTTTTCTTTCTGACCTTGGATAGTCTGATGACTATGTGCCTCGGGAATGGTTGTCTTATACAGTAACTCACAGGAGTTATCTGAATTTCTTATATCTGCATGGCAGTCTCTCTGCAAGATAGGGGATGTTTTCTTAGATAATGTCTTATAAAGCTTGTTCCAGGTAGCTCTCATTTTCCCTTTTTCTCATTTTCTCATCCTCTCAGAGATGCTGATCAGACATAGATTTGGTCTCTTTACATAATCCCATACCTCATGAAGGCTTTGTTCATTTAAAAAAAATTTTTTTCCTTTATTTTTGTCTGACAGGGTTAATTTGAGGGATCAGTCTTCAAGCCCTGAAATTCTCTCTTCTGCCTGGCCAAGTCTGCTATTAAGGCTCATGACTTCGCTTTGGAATTCCGAAGTAAATTCTTCATTTCCAGAAGTTCGGTTTAGTTATTTCTTAAGATTGCTATGTCAGCTTTCAGTTCTTACACTACTTTTATGGCCTGTTTGATTTGGGTATCCATACTCTCTTGAATCTCATTAAGTCTCTTTGCCATCCATATTCTGAATTTTGTATCTATCATAAGGGACAATTCATTCTCTTTAGGATCCATTGCTTGGGAGCTAGTGAGATTCTTTGTAGGTGTTGAAACACTTTGAATTTTGGGATTTTTGGTGCTCTTGAGCTGATTTCCTCTCATCTGTGGGGGCAGACTCTCCTCTTTTTTATTTTTTAAAATTGCTATTGTTTGAGATGGGACTTTGTCATGTTTTCTTCCCCTCTCCTTCCAGCTATGTCTGCAGTATTAATTATATATGGTCTACTGGTTTAGTATCTCAGCTTCCCATTGTCTTGCTGACCTACAGGGTACAGAGGCAGCAGTAGTGATGATTATGGGGGGCTAACAACCTCTGGAGGTTGTGTCCTCAGGGGAGCACTGAGCCACAGCTGCAGTGTTCATGTAGGGGGGTGGGGCAGCTGCATGCTGCTAGGAGGCCCCCCTGACTGGTCACTGTGGAGATGGATGTCTGTGGCATTGGTCCTATGAGCACACAGAAGTGGTCCATCTCTTTGCTCCCTTCCTAACCTGTGGGTGGCAGAGATGGAGACAGTGGTGCTGGCCAGGAATCATGGAGGTGTTCTTCCTCCCTATTCTCTCTTGATCCATGTGTGGCAGAGGCAGAGGCAGCAGCAGTGGCAATAGCAGCTTGCTAGCAAACTGCTGAAATGATCAGGTAGAAGTAGAACAGCTTTTTTACACCTTGACAAGGATCTTTCTCTCCCTTAGTCATGGGCAACAGGGTCCCTGCCTAGCTGGGAGTTGTGGGGTCATCTGCCTTCTTGTTTCCTCCCTGCCATATGCGAGGGTCAAAGACAGTGATGATAGGAGCTGCAGAAGGCAATTCCCCCACCTCAGGAAACTGGTGGCCTCCTGGGGTCAAGCCTCCAACTGAGTTTTGGGCGGGTGCGTGAGAGGGCTATCTCTTGAGTAGGAAAAGTGCGCCTGGTAAGGGACAGTGGTGGGGGGCACCCATGTGGCACAATCCATGGCAACAGAATCAGTCCTAGAGCATCCTTCTTTACCACAGCTGGGGAGGCTGAGTAACATTGAGTCAGAATTCAGGAAATAGAATCCCGAGGCAATTCAGGGTAGCAAATGCTGAGATCCCAAGGGCATTTTTCTGGAAACCTTGCCTTCAAGGGCCTAGCTTGCTTTGAAGATCTCTGAAATACCTTTGGAGTCATTCTCCCATTGTCTTGATGAGTGGAAACTGGCTTCCTTCTGTTCACATTAATTTATTTAAGTGAACAGTCACTTGCCTCACCCTTAGTATTTTCTCTTCAAGTTGCTTTTTTATTCTTTACATGGCCAGACTGAGAGTTTCCCAAATATTTCCATTCTGTTTCATTTTAATTACAAATTCCATCTTTTAATCATATCTCTCTTCTTTCACTTACTGTAAGCAGCCAAAGGAAGCCATGCAGAACCTTGAATGCTTTACTGCTCAGGTATTTCTTCTGCCAGCTATCCTTATTTATTACTCTTAAGTTATACCTTCCACAAAGTTCTAGGACAGAAACACAGTTCTGCCAAGTTCTTTGCACATGTATAACAAGGCTGGTCTTAACTCCAGTTTCCAATACCTTGTTCCTCATTTCTGTCTAGGACTTCATCAGAATGGCCTTGTTTCTAACAACATTCTGATCACAACTACTTAAGTAATCTTTAGGAAAGTCTAGACTTTCCCTATATTCCTTCTCTTCTGAGCCCTCACCAGAATTGCCCTTAAATCTTCAATCATGTCAACCCAAACTTTTTCTAGCCTACTCCTCCAAACTCTTTCAGCTTCTACCCATTACCCAATTCCAAAGCTGCTTCTACATTCTCAGATGTTTGTTATAGCAACAGCCCCGCTTCTTGATACCGGTTTTCTGTCTCAGTCCATTTGGTACTACTATAACAGATGATATGAGAGTGATAATTTATATAGAACAGAGATTTATTTCTATCAATTTGGGAAGCTGGGACGCCCACATTTGAGAGGCCCTTGTCTGGCAGGGGCCTTGGTGTGGCATCTCATGGATGAAGGGTAATAGAGCACTCATGGGAATGGGGAGCAGGGTTGAACTCATCCTTTTATCAGGAACCTACTCCCAAGTTAACTAACCTACTTCCATGATAATGACACTAATCCATCCATGATGGCAAAGCACTATGACCTAATCACCTCTTAAGGATCCCACCTCTCAACACAGTTGCACTGGGGATTAAATTTCCAACACATGAACTTTAGAGGACTCATTCAAGCCATGGCATAGATCATAAGAATGATAATCTGTTTTTGTTGTTTTTATAATACTGTCAGAACAAGTCTCCCTAAAGTTTCCAAAGACTTTCCAAAAATATCACTTTACAAATGGATGCCTCCATATAAAATCAACACAGATTAGCAAACTGCACTAAACATAGTTTCTAATTCTCTTGACGTTAGGAAATTGGGATGAAGTTCCATTGGTGCCCTAGTACTTAAATTGGCTGACAATCGTCTTTAATATCTTTTAGAAAACACAATCATTATACAGTTACTTCCTGTAGGACAGTTTAGTTAGAGACTGGGAACACTGAACCATTACTAAAGAGAGAGAATCTGTGACTGGTAAAGCTGAAGGCTCGTGAAAAGGATAATTTTAAAGAATTTGTTTTGAATTAGGTCCCATGTGATCTTCTGTGAACCAAAGCACAATCTCCTAACCGTGGGTAATTTCAGATAGATTAACTCGTGCTCATGTCTGCTGTCTTCTATCTCAGAAGACCCTGACCTATTCTGCATTTAGAAGTGGAAATCATACCCTAAGTAGGTCTTTTTTCTGGGCACAGTTTGTTTCAAACTCTTGCAAAAAATACTTTTTGGAAGTTTTTATTTCTTTTTTTTGTTTTGTTCTATTTTGTTGGTTACAAATGTGTGGGGGTAGCTAGAAGATTAACAGTTTTTGGTAGCGCTTATAAACAATCTAGTCTTATGAGTTCAGATTAGTTATGAGGAAAAACTATATGAAAGAATAAATATCTAATATAGAGAACAGTTGAAGTATTGGAAATTGGCTAAATGATGCCCAGTAGAGGTTTCAGTTTAATGAGTCGATAAAAATAATTTGTACTTATCATTTTAAACCCCCAACCCAGATGATTAGAAACAGAAGCTAATGTTGTTTATCTGTAATACATTCTTGGAAACAGTTGTGTATTTAACAGTGAGCATTCCCTCCCCATTTGTTCAAACCATTAATTGATTGTATTTCTAGGAAGCCCATCTTCTAAAGGATAAAGTTCAGTCAAGCTCTTCTCTAAGTTTCCCACATAATCAATTCATCAGGAACTTAAAAGTTGTAGTTACGTGTGAAACATAGTAGATCAAAAAAAGAATAAAAGTAACAGCCTTGAGTTAGTATTAAAAATTAAACAATTCTTAGTATTGATATATTTTTAGATATTATTTCTCTGGTTTCCAAAAGCAAATAATTACTTTTTTTATACCTATGGAAATTTCAAACATATACAGAACTCAACAGACTACACAAAATAGATATTGACACACATACAGATATCTAGAGCGAACATATAAAACTAGACAGAATCATGTAATTACTCATCACCCAGCTTCAATGATCAACTTAGGGCCAATCTTGGATCATGTATATCTTTGCACTCTCTTCCTCCAGCTCCCTCACACCCCATCTTCTTCTGTTTCTTCTTCCATATTAAGGCAAATTCCAAGCATCATAGCATTTTATGAGTAAATGTTTTAAGATGTGTTCTTCAAAGATGACAAACATAACCACAATGCCGTTATAACACCTGAAATTAACCATGATTTATAATAGATTAGAGGATACCAGGAACTGGAATGAGGAGAATGGAGACTGACTCCTTAATGGTTACAGAATTGCTGATTGAGATGATGAAAAAGTTTTGGAAATAATAGTGATAGCTGTACAGCACTGTTCATGTCATGAATATCACTGAAATGTACATGTAGATATGGCTACAATGGCTCTTTTTTTGTTATATATATTTACCATGCTGCAGTCATTATTTTAAAAAGATAGATGAAGTTGATAGAACTAGAAGGATATCTTACTCTTTTGCTATCATCAGCTCCCAAGAAATCTGACAATCATTTCAATATAGTAAAGAAAGAAGAAATGGGGTTTTTTTCTTTGACTTTGTCAGAACACATAACTCATCATCTTACATGTCTATGGGCACTGAAGGCGACCACACTGGGTGATGTCTCACATCTGTATAGCACTTGGCAGTTTGCATATAATGGTTAATTGGCTCTCACGATGATTCTCCATTATGTTTAAGTAGATTTCATAGAAGTCTGCTTCTTGATTTTTCAGGTCTGATAGAAGTCTGGATCATCCTGCTGGAGCAGCTCACAGCAGCTGTGTCCAATTGTCCACGGCAGCACCAGCCACCAACCTTGGATTTACTTTTTGAGCTGTTGAGAGATGTTACCAAAACGCCAGGTAAATATTTCTCTGTCTCTTTTCAGGGGGAGTTATCATGTAACTTTTCTCAGGGCTATCTATAGGTGTCTACCTATTTCTGCAGGTATTTATCATTTTCATTGTTTCCTTGACTTAGCAAAAAGCTTCAAACATAATAGACATTCAATAAGTATTTGCTGAGTGTCTTTGGTGCCGTGATGCTTAACATACATCCCATCCTGTATATTATTTACATTTCCTTCTAGTAGACCATTTACAGATATTGTGCAGTGGCCAGTTAGTTGGGTGTATGCAAGCCCACATTAATTGGACCCAGGCTGTGATGTCAATGTCTCTAGGAACCAGCTGGCTTTGCTGTTTCATAATCACAGCCTTCCTCTGTGGCTGGATCTTGCAGTCATATGCCCTTGGCCCCAGGGATGTAGCTTAGGCTCACCAGGTCTACCAGTGATATAAATGAACCATACACAGTATAAGACAGCAACACCTTGTTTGTGTAAAGGTCATAGGTGATTATATCTGGAAAAAGACATTTAGTGCTCACCTAGTGCAGTCCCTTGACAGAATAAGAAAAGAATAGCCCTTATAGATATATCTCTTGTTCTGAATTAATCACATTTGGTATACACATTCTTCATCTTAGTTCTTCCAGGATCAAAGAAATTTTTTATAGAAATTTGAGTTTTTAGCCAGGCACAGTGGCTCACACCTGGAATCCCAGCACTTTGGGAGATGAAGGTGAGAGGATTTCCTGAGTCCAGGGGTTCAAGATCAGCCTGGGCAACTTGGTGAGACCTCGTCTCTACAATAAATCAAAAAATTAGTTAAGCATGGTGGTGCATGCCTATGGTTCTAACTACTTGAGAAGATGAGGCAGAAGGATCACCTGAGCCTAGCAGATCAAGGCTGCGGTGGCTGTGAGCATGCTACTACACTCTAGCTTGGGCAACAGTGTGAGACTCTACTAAAAAAAAATAATAAAAAATAAATTTAAGTTTTTTTACTAACAGAATCAGAACCCTAAATGAAACCACTAATGAGTTCCACAGTAAGAAGAAGAGGTCTGTATTCATCATAATGAAGACTTGGACACTGATAGTATTTCAAAATCTATAGCAAAGTTTATACTGGAGTTAAAAATAAATTTTTAAAAATCTTTGCTACTCCCACATTAAAAAGTTAAAAGAACTTCCATCAAAGAATAAGCAGGTTATCTTATAGAATTAATCATATGCCACTATTTATAAATCTGTCTTACTAGTTAGTACCATTTTCTGCTTTCACATTGATTGCCACTAACTGTGTGTGAAGAACATTTAACCCAATACTTCTACTCCTAAGAGTTTATCATCTATGGAAGTTGCTGTAACATAGACAAAAATGTATACATAGATATTTGCTGAGATATCTTGAATACCAAAACATTATAAGCACCCTAAGTAGGAAGCAGTTAAGTAAATTGTGGTAAAAGCATGTAAATATTCTACAGACATTAAAATTAATATTTGTGAGAAATGTTTAATGACATAATAATTATTTACAAGGCATGTTAAAATTTATATTCTGTGGAATTCCTTCTCAACTATATGAAATTTTATGCATTTATAAATAAACACACATTCATTCAAAAAGTACTAGAAAGAAATATATCAAAATGTAATTATCTCTGGGTGAGTTTTTGTCCTTTGTATGCTCATGTAATTTCTGTGTTTATTATCAAATGGATGCTTTTATTTTATAATCATTACTTCATAAATTCATCAACATTTCACCTTGTTTCACAAAGAAGCACAAAGATTTTCATTTTAGTATTGTCTATAAAGAAAAAAATAGAAACACCATAAATGTCCCTCAGAAAGGAAATGGATACGTGAACTCTTGCATATACATACAATGAAAATAGTATGTGACAATAAAAATGAGGAATAACTAAATTTGCTGTCAGAGATTATCTCTAATAATGTTGGATTTATTTTTTTTTTTTGAGACGAAGTCTCACCCAGGTTGGAGTGCACTGGTACAATCATAGCTCACTGTAGTCTTGAACTCCTGGGCTCATGTAATCCTCCTGCCCCAGATTCCCAAGTAGCTGGGATTACAGGTGTGTACCACCATGCCCAGCTCTAATATTATATTGTTATGTGAAAGAATCAATATGCAGACCGATGTTTACATTATCCTATGTAGATAAAAATAATAAAAACAAATAAAACTATATTTTCCTATCTTTCATATCAATGTAAGTAGTTACATTTCAAAGGATGTTTGCTTGTGCACATAGACATTTGTATCTGTGTGTTTATATCTGGGGCCTAGAAATTACTCAAGTGATACTTTAGCTTTATTAGTCATTTTGAATTTTTTATAGTATGCTCATGTATGACTTGCATAACTAAAATCATGCACAAACAAAAAAGAAAAATGCCACCGAAGATGATCTATTCCCCAACCAGTGGTAAGTTCTTTTTCCCCTGCACTTTCTCAGAGAATGGGGAGATCCTTCTAGAGAGATCAGTAATGCCAGGTGAAGGCAAGAGGCTCCCCTTTTATTGCACATTGTTGCTGAGATCAGAGTTCTGACACTGACTTTCCTTTTCAGGACCAGGGTTCGGTATCTATGCAGTTGTTCATCTTCTCCTTCCTGTGATGTCCCTTTGGCTCCGTCGTAGCCATAAAGACCATTCCTACTGGGATGTGGCCTCTGCGAATTTCAAGCACGCCATCGGTCTGTCCTGTGAACTGGTGGTGGAACACATTCAAAGTTTTCTACACTCAGGTATTTATAATACCAGAGCAGCTCGTTCTAGGTATTTTTTCACTGAGGCAGCATCATTCTCTAAAAGGGCTTAGTAAATACCTGATACAAATACCAGTGCATGATTTTTGTCCTGAAAAGTATTATCAAAGAGAAAATTGATCCCCGTGTGTCTGCTACAAAATTATCGAACAGATTACTCAAAATGCATGTGTGGCTGGGGGGAGAAAAAAGAGGTCTGGGATATCTGTGCATTATGAGAGGGGAGGAAAATTCAAGTATATAATAAACAAAAAAAAAGAACTAACTTTGTAGTCTGAGCATGTTGTTCTGCTTCATCCGGGGAGGCCAGACAGAGGAGGCAGAGTTTTAGAAAAGGCTTCAATGATGAGCAAGAAGCAGCTTAACAGACTAAGGATGAAGAGAAGTTTCTTAATATCTGTGGCACTTTGAAAAAGATGCGAAAGTGTAGGGTGGACAGTATGTTGAAATAGCAGATGGAGAGAGACCCAGAGGCATGAGAATATATCAGCTGTGGTACTGGTAGACCCACATGTGTGAAAAAGAACACTACTTGAAAAAGAAAACAGGAGGTTTTTCTACATGTAAGTGGTAACTGGTAACTATATTCCTAGGAATACGTGTTCTTGACAGGTCCTTGCTTTGCACAGTTAGAGACTCTTGAGGATTCTACCCCAAATTGTTTTTCTTGAGGAAAAGAATGCAGATATATTCCTTGAATTAGGCAAATAGAAAGTGAATTTTTTGGGGGGGGGGGAAGAGTCTGGCTGCATCACCCAGGCTGGAGTGCAGTGGCACAATCATGGCTCACCACAGCTTTGACCTCCAGGGCTCAGGGGATCCTTCTGCCTCAGCCACCTGAGTAACTAGGACTGTAGGTGTGCACCACTATGCCTGGCTCATTTTTTGACTTTTTGTAAAGATGAGGTCCCACTATGCTACCTAGACTGGTCTCAAACTCCTGGGCTCAAGCATTCCTCCTACCTCAGCCTTCCAAAGTGCTGGGATTATAGGCATGAGCCACCACATCTGACCAGAAAGTGATTTTTGAAAATCTTATTTTCTTTAGTTTGGGGATAATATGCCAACTGCAGCCAGACCGAGGCGAATCAAGAACTGGTGGGACTAGAGATTGTTTTGCAAGAGCATTTAATTCAGTTTAATTTGGCTATCAGCAACAAGAAGTGTCAATGCTTTACTTTTTTCTTTTTAAAAAATGCTTACATTTTAACCAGCTAGTATTCAGCCCATATAACATTATATGTTCTAGTCTGTTTAAGTAGATGAATTATATACTTAACTTTGAAAAATGTACATCAGGCCAGGCTTGGTGGCTCAGCCTGTAATCCCAGCACTTTTGGAGGCTGAGGCGAGTAGACTACCTGAGCCCACAGGTTCGAGACCCACCCAGGCAACTTGGTGAGACCTTGTCTCTACAAAAATTAGCTGGATGTGGTAGCACACGCCTGTAGTTCTGGCTACTTGGTAGGCTGAAGTGGAGGCATTGCTGGAACACAACAGTTTGAGGTTGGGGTGGCTGTGAGTGTGCCACTGCACGCAGTCTGGGCAACAGAGTGAGACTCCAACTCAAAAAAAAAAAAAGAAAAGAAAAATGTAAATGTGTATTAACACATAAAAGTGAACCACATATTTCATCTTTATTTTACCTTACAGTGGATAAAACAAGCTAAGTTGGGTTTTTAAAAATCTAAGAAAAATTGTTTCACTGGGTTTTAAATTTTTTTTGCTATGGCCATTTTCCTCATTGTTCTATTTTCCCCCAGATAGTTATGTATTTTTTTAAATCACTCAGTCTTTCCTCTTTTGTTACAGATGGCTATTTTAATGTCTCTTTACATTAGAGTTACGTGAAACCTTGGTTTTACTGTTTCCCATAGACATCAGGTATGAGAGCATAATCAACACCATGCTGAAGGACCTCTTCGAGCTGCTGGTAGCATGTGTGGCCAAGCCCACAGAAACCATATCCAGAGTGGGCTGCTCTTGTATCAGGTGAGACCAGGTTTCCTGACTCCCTACAAGTTAAAGTTTTTATTATAAAATACAAAGAAATTAAATTACCTTTGTGGTAGCAATCCACTTTTCAGATTGCTTTTCATAAATAAAAATGTGTTAATAATTCTTCATTCCAGTGTAAGTATTTATTGTACAAGGCATTATACTAATTACTCTTTTTCAGAGAAAGTGATATAAAGTCTCTACTCTCAAAGAGCTTAAAATGACGTATCAGAGAGAGGGTCACATGAAAAATGAACATAGTGGGGGAAAATTGCTAAATGCCAAGAAAATACAGGAGCCTGGGGAGTGGGGCAGCCAGCAAGGACCTTATGGTAGCAGTGACACTGGTCAGATCCCATGAGGGTAAACTTTTGATAGGTTGGGTCTTCCCAAGCAGGAGAACAAAATGAACAAATGCATGGAGATAAGAATTACAAGTGACAATGAGGGGGTTTTGTTTTGTTTATTGTTTGTAGAGGAGTGGTAGAAAATGGGGCTAGACTGGAAAAATCAGTATAGGATATATACAGCCTTACATACAAATCCAAGTTTAATCACTGGCCTATTTGTAGTGGGGATGCATTGATGGTTTTATATTGAAATGGTCTAGGAAGCAGTCCTTGATGATAAAATACCAGATGGGCAGAGGGCAAAAGTGATAAGAGACAGGAATACTTGCAAGGAAGTTACAGAATAAATCTCTACATGAGTCCATAGGACCTAAGTTTTGTGGCAGCAAATTCTAAGGATTCATCCTTGTTTCTCTTGGCAGGTATGTCCTTGTGACAGCAGGCCCTATGTTCACTGAGGAAATGTGGAGACTTGCCTGTTGCGCCCTGCAGGATGCGTTCTCCGCCACACTCAAGCCAGTGAAGGTATGTCACCAGAATAAGAGAGCCAGGGGCATTCTGACCTTCATTATTTCCCTGATGCCTCTGTCAAGTTAGGCATCTGAGTTTTGCCTTGTCCATGCAGGCAGTCTCACTTGAAATTTTTCCTGCGGGTGAGAAAGAAGTTGCTTTGTTCCAGGCACAGTGACAATGTCAGATCCAAGAATGGGCCTGGTGCCATGAACCAGGCACACACAGTAAGTGTCTGCTGTTTCTCCCTAGGACCTGCTGGGCTGCTTCCACAGTGGCACCGAGAGCTTCAGTGGGGAAGGCTGCCAAGTGCGAGTGGCAGCCCCTTCCTCCTCCCCCAGTGCCGAGGCCGAGTACTGGCGCATCCGAGCCATGGCCCAGCAGGTAAGGGCTGGGGCTTTTGGTCTAAGGGGCTCTAGAACCATGAAATCCATGTTGGGAGTCCTTCTTGAAGGCCTTGCATCACCAGACTGCCTTTCATTCCCTTAGGGACATATACCTCCTGGCTCCACTTCTGTACCAGGAATGACATGAACCCAACCAATAGCATTACTTCCTGTCCACCATCTCTTGTTTACTGTATCCTCAGTACCCACATCATATAGAGTCCTTTCCACAGCCTGGCCACTGTCTTTTATACATGACTTGCGTGGACTACCTATTAGTATTTGCTTAAATATTATTGTGACTGTCATTGAGTGTCTAATGGTGGCAGACGTTTGATTTTCCTCCTTATATCTCCCATACACAACACAGAACTTAATATTTGAGAGTTGCTTATTGAAATTGAGTTGAATGTAGGTGATTACTAAAATGTATTCACCCATGCAGGAATCACCATGTACCCATAGCTTTTTCTTCTTCTTTTTCTTCTTTTGAGTCAAAGTCTTACTCTGTCGTCTAGGCTGAAGTGCAGTGGTATTCTCACGGCTACCGCAGCCTTGACCTGCTGAGTCAGGTGATCCTTCTGCCTCAGCCTTCCAAGTAACTGGAACTACAGGCATGTGCTACCACACCCAGCTAATTTGTTTGATTTATTGGAGACCATGAAGTCTCACCAAGTTGCTTAGGCTGGTCTTAAATCCTGGGCTCTGACAATTCTCTCACCTCCGCCTCCCAAAGTGCAAGAATTACAGCCATGAGCCATTGTGCTTGGCAGCTTGTTCTTCTTGAGACACATGGAAGAAGTCACAAAAGTTGGCTATGAGCATCTGAGGAGCATAGAACACAATCTGTGTATTTACCTTGGTATTCTTAGAGCAAGGGTAGAGAGGATGCTTACTTTGTGTTTGTTGAATCAATGAATTACTGAATCACAGAAGATCTTACAGTATTATTATAAGCTATAGACATGCCCCTGAGTACCTAAGTGCCATGGCAGACTGCCTCTAAGAAGCCCTATATGAGCTGGGCTCGGTGGCTCAGCCTGTAATCCCGCGCCTTGGGAGGCTGAGGTGAGTGGATTGCCGGAGCCCGCGGGTTCGAGACCTGCCTGGGCAACTTGGCAAGACATCATCTCTACAGTAAGTCAAAAATTAGCCAGGCATGGTAGCACACGCCTGTAGTTCACGCTACTTGGAAGGCTGAGGCAGAAGGATCGCCGGAGCCCAGCAGGTGAGGCTGTGGTGGCCGGGAGCGGCCACTGCACTCCAGTCTAGGCGACGGAGTGAGACTCCCAACTCAAAAAAAAAAAAAAAAAAAGAAGCCCTATATGGAACTTTTAGCAGCATATAGCTAAGTGCTATCCCTAAACTCACATATATTCATAACACTGCTTTTCACAGTAGTGAAAAATGAAAATGGACTAAACTCCCAATAACCATCGACTGGTTAAACACTCTAGCACATAATAGCAACAGACATGATAGAATTGTGTCTTCATATGAAGAAACTACTTTGCATATGTATGTGTGTGGTATGTGCTTAAAACATCAAACACATTTTACAAATATTTATGAACTGTCAGATTTGAATTAAATCTGAAGAAATAAGTTGGAGGTTATATTCAAAAGACCCTTTTTTTCTACAAGATCTGCTTGTATTCTTCACATAATTTTCTCTTAGACACTGATAATCTAGGATGCCCCGATTACCAATGTGAAGAACTCAGTCTTTTAATTGTTAGTCGAGAAGTTTCTGGGCCAGTCAAGAAGTCTTCTGGCTGAGTCTGGCCTCTTCAGGACTTTCCCCAGCTATCCTCAGCTAGTGAGACAGGAACCTTCTACCTCCGGTTTCTCACCTCCTCTGCTGAGCACATTCATAACATCTGGAACATGATGTTCTGCTGGTTCTGAAGGGAGAGAATACCTCCCACCTTCATGGCCAGTCTGCAGCAGTTGGGACAGAAAAAATGTTATAAGGCTGCAATGAAGAGCCACCAATAGCATGGAGTTTGTGTCTGCTGCAGCAAGAGTGTGGTTGGGAAGGATAACAGAGAAACCAAGATGGTGGCACTCCAAAGGAATAGCTTCTCTAAATAAGAAGCTGTTACACCCAGCTAGATAAAGAATTTTCATGTGTGCATACATCAACCGATGAAAATGTCAATGGAATTCTCTTCTGAAATAAATCATTAATGGAGAAGAACAGCAGAGAGCCATTTAGTGAATCTTTTAATATTTAGCTTTCTTTCTCAGTCCCAAATCTTCCTTCTGTTTTCACTTTTAAGATAACCCTATATTCCATGATCTGATAATTCTTACAAAATTTGGAAAGAAAAGTTTCTTTAAAATATTTTACTCTCAAGCCAGGCACAGTGGCTCACGCCTATAATCCCAGCAATTTGGGAGGCTGAGGTGAGAGGATTGCCTGAGCCCACGGGTTTGAGACCCGACTGGGCAACTTGGCGAGACCTCATCTCTACAATAAATCAAAAATTAGCCGGGCGTGCAGCCACGCCTATAGTTCCAGTTACTTGGAAGGCAGAGGTGGAAGGATCATCTGAGCCCAGCAAGTCAAGGTTGTGGTGGCCATGAGCATGCCACTGCAATCCAGCCTGGACAACAGAGTAAGACTCTGACTCAAAAAAAATATATATATATCTATCTATCTATCTATCTAGTCTACTCTTCCCAAAGGAAAGTAGTGGTGACATTTTAAGTCATATAAAATGAAAACACTTGGATCAGAGATCCAATAAGTGGTCATCATTTTCTTAGTCTACTTGTCACTGCCTAGTAGAGTAGTGTGGCCCCATCAGTAGTCCTGAGAGAAGTTCTAATTCATTTCCTATTCCTGAATTAGCAGTAATATGCCAAACAGACTCAAAATGAGAGATGATCTTTTACAAACATAGCTCTTCTTTATCTACTCTTAATTAAGAGTAAATGTCCATACTTGCTATTTGGAGTCACATGGTAGAACTAGTAGTGTTAATCAGGATTAGTGTCAGTGGCTAACATTTATTGAGTATTTACTCGTCTGTTCTAATGTTTTGCATATGTATTACACACGTATCAAATCACTTAATTCTCTCAGCAGCTATACTAGCTAGGAAACCATCATCACCCTCATTTTATAGTAATGAGTAAAGAGAGTAAACATCTTGCCTAGGACCATCTGGCTGATCCCTGGTGGATCAGGTGGCATATGGTATAGTTCTGACAAATACCTTTGTACCCACACAGGTGTTTATGCTGGACACCCAGTGCTCACCAAAGACGCCAAACAACTTTGACCATGCTCAGTCCTGCCAGCTCATTATTGAGCTGCCTCCTGATGAGAAACCAAACGGACACACCAAGAAAAGGTAAGCACCCAAGTTTCAACATATAAGGCACTTATGAATAAGAAAGTTCATTATTCCCAGTTCTTGCTCACTGTAATCCAAGTTTTGGCCAAGAAAGATTTTCATAAAAGTCACTAGCCTTTTAACCAAATGTCCCACATTTCGTATGTATTCATTCACTAGGGCTGCCACAACAAACTACCACAGACTAAGTGACTCAAACAACAGAAATATATTTCTGGAGTCTAGAAGTCAAAAATCAAGGTGTTGGCAGGGTTTCTTCTGAGGTCTCCCACCTTGGCTTGTAGGTGGCTGTCATCTTTCGGTGTCTTCACATGGTCATTCTTCTATATGCCTCTGTGTCCAAATTTCCTCTTCTTATAAAGACATTGGTCATATTTGATTAGAACTCACCCAATGACTTCATTTTTAACTTAATTGCCTCTTTAAAGACACTTTCTCCAAATACAGTCACATTTCAAGGTACTAGAGGTTAGGATTCCAATATATGAATTTGACTTATGCTGAAGGTGATTTTAAATTTAAGTATGTAGTGTTTAAATTTCCTCTGTTCATATAATTTTGTCTTTGTTTCTGTTTTTGTTTTTGTTTTTTGAGTTGGAGTCTCACTCTGTTGCCCAGGCTGGAGTGCAGTGGCCTGCTCACGGTCACTGCTGCCTCAACCTGCTGGGCTCAGGCAATCCTTCCACCTCAGCCTTCCAAGTAGCTAAAACTATAGGCGTGTGCCACCATACCCGGCTTATTTTATTTTTTGATTTATTGTAGAGACAAGGCCTCATCAAGTTGCCCAGGCAGGTCTCAAACGCGTGAACTCAGGCAGTCCTCTTGCCTAAGCCTCCCAAAGTGCTGGGATTACAGGTGTGAGCCACCATGCCCAACCCCGCCCATATAGTTTTAATGAGAAGTTTCCGGTTAGCTTCATTATGACCTTGGTTCCTGGCTTACAGAGAATTTTTTGAGTAGTTGCTTGTTTGCCAGTTGTTTGCCATCTCTCATGGGTCACCAAAATATTAGCACTTCAAGATGTTAGGACATTACTTGCTGTACCTTCATCCTTCACTTAACTATCTGATGTAAATATTTTAACTTCACATATATCGGTAAAGAGTCTACCAAGTGGCTTCATGGAAATTTGCAAAATGAGCCAATTCCCTTTTGAGTAGTACATGTACCTGTTTTGACTTTTCAGCAAATATGTTTTATTTTATGAAGATATCTGCACAATGGAGACCATATTCAAATTGCTTCCATGAGAAATACATAAACTTCTTCATGAACAACATAGCTGTTGCTTACAGAGAGACTGGAAGACAAAATGATCTGTGGTCTACCACAAGAAATCTGCTGTCTTTAAATACTATAATCCTCTCGACTCATAAGTGGGACCTGAACATTAGTCATATTAGCAAAAGGGAGGAATCAGCAGTTGCTGGACACTGCCGGGAGTGGGAGGGGAGGGGAGACGTAACAGCACAAAGGGTTTCTGACCCCAAACCATGGGAAGTGAGGACCAGTTGGAGGCCCACACTTCACCTGCACAAATTCCACTTGTGTAGCTAATCCTAACTTGTACCCCACATCTCTATAATAAAATTTTTTTAAAAGATAGATAAATAAATATAATCATCCTACCTAAAAAAATAAGGGTGAACCAAAAAACCTGAAATTTATTTACAAAAATTGAGTATTTATTCTTATATGTTTAAACTTCTGTCACCTCCATTTGATGCAATATACCTATCAAGAAGATTTTTTTTTTTTTTTTTGAGTTGGAGTCTCACTGTCGCCCAGACTGGAGTGCAGTGGCCGCTCCCGGCCACCACAGCCTCAACCTGCTGGGCTTCGGTGATCCTTCCGCCTCAGCCTTCCAGGTAGCTGGAACTACAGGTGCACGCTACCACACCCGGCTAATTTTTTTGATTTATTGTAGTGATGAGGTCTCGCCTGCCCAGGCAGGTCTCGAACCCACGGGCTCACGCAATCCACTCACCTCAGCCTCCCAGAGGCGTGGGATTACAGACTGAGCCACCGAGTCCAGCTGAAGAAGCTTTTTTACTGCTCAAAACAGTTTTTGAACTCATCAGTTTTGATGCCTTTCATGGCTGCTGGTGTTTTTTTTCACCTCTTCCACATCACCCAAATGTTTCCCTTTGAGGACATTTTTCATGGAGAAGTGAAAAAAAAAAGTCTCTGGGGGTGAAATTGGGTGAATAGGGAGAGTAGGGAATGGGGGTCATGCTGTTTTTTGGTCAAAAACTGCAGAACACTTAGCTCAGTGTGGGCCGGTGCACTCATAAATCACTCCTCATCAAATGGGTAAACATCGGGCTGGGCACAGTGACTCATGCCTATAATCGCAGGACTTTAGGAGGCCAAGGTGAGAGGATTGCCTGAGCCCACAAGTTCGAGACCAACCTGGGCAACTTAGCGAGACCTCATCTCTAAAAATAAATACATAAATAAAAAATAAATGGGCAAACATGTTGAAAGAATCTTCAAAAAAAATTTACTGAAGCCAAAGGCAGCCTCTCACAACATCACTTGCTGGTACACTGATGTTGATGGGTTCCTAGCGGGGGAAACCTGTACTATAAGAGAACTACCTCCAAAAGATAATTGTTTTTTTTTTTTGGTCCTCTTCGTGTTGTTCCTAGAGTTATAGAGGAAGGCAATGACTGACATTTCCCAACTTTAAACTTGTGACACACTAACCGGGTGTGATGGCTCAAGCCTGTAATCCCAGCACTTTGGGAGGCCAAGGCGAGAGGATTGCCTGAGCTCAGGGGTTTGAGACCAGCCTGGGCAACTTGGTGAGACCTTGTCTCTACAATAAATCAAAAAATTAGCCGGGCATGGTAGCGTGTGCCTGTAGTTCTAGCTACTTGAAGGCTGAGGCAGAAGGATCACCTGAGTCCTGCAGGTCAAGGCTGTGGTGGCCATGAGCGTACCACTGCACTCCAACCTGGGTGACAAAGTGAGACTCCAACTCAATAAACAAAACAAACAAATAAAAATTCTGATACACTAACCACAGTGATGATAAGTATTTGAGCACTATGTATGAAGTACAAGGGATAGAGATTCTCACCCTCATTTTACCTCTGAGGACATGTTCAGAGGAGCTAGAGGATCACTTATTCAAGGACACACAACTGCAGACAGGAGCAAATTAGTTTGGCTGAGTACACAGCCTTTGCCCTTTTCCATTTCCATTTCAGAGAGAAAGTTGGTGCGATGTACTAAATGTCTGTGTCCTCCCCACATGCATATAACTCTTAATATGATGGTATTAGGAGATGGAGCTTTTGGGAGGAAATTAGGTCAAGAGGGTGGAGCCCTTATAAATGGGATTAGTGCCCTTAAAAGATGAGACAGGAGACAGCTCCCTTGTCCTCTTTCTGTCATGTGAAGGTACAAGAAGATGGCTGTGTACACTCCAACCTGGGTGGCAGAGCATGACCCTGTCTCAATTAAAAAAAAAAGTTAGGAAACGAATAAAAACTAAAATAAAGGCCAGGTTCGGTGGCTCAGCCTGTAATCCAGCACTTTGGGAGGCCAAGGCGAGTGGATTGCCTGAGCCCACATGTTCGAGACCAGCCCAGGCAACTTGGTGAGACCTCGTCTCTACAATAAATGATTTTAAAAAAATTAGCTGGGTGTGGTAGCACGCGCCTGTAGTTCAGGCTACTTGGAAGGCTGAGGTGGAAGGATCACCGGAGCCCAGCAGGCCGATACTGGGGTGGCCGTGAGCGTGCACTCCAGCCTGGGTGATGGAGTGAGACTCCAACTCAAAATAAATAAATAAATTAATTAATTAATTAGCCTCTTGTTTTTTTCAACTGTTAGGCACTAGTTTTTAAGAATTAATCGTTTTTTGCCAGGCATAGTAGACCATGCCTATACTCCTAGCACTTTGAGTGGTTAAGGCGGGAGGATCACTTGAGCTCAGGAGTTTGAGATCAGCCTGGGCAACATAGTGAGGCCTCATCTCCACAAAAAGTTAAAAAAAATTAGCCAAGGCATGGTGGTTCATGCCTGTAGTCCCAGCTACTTGTGAGACTGAGGTGGGAGGATCTTTGAGTCCAGAGGTCAAGTCTTTGGTGAGCTGTGAGCATGCCACTGCATGCCAACCTGGCTGACAGAGCAAGATGCTGGTGTGCATGCACGCAAGAGAGCGAGAGAGAGAGAGAGACAGACAGACATGGGGAAGGAGAGAGAGATATTGATTGATTGAGATTGATTATTTTAAATCTATTTTATATACCGAAGTTGTTCAATCCTTTAACAAGCTTAAACATTCATCTTCAGAATTTGAGTTCTTTTCCTACTCTTTTCCTTTTTTTATATTTCTGACTCCCATTCAGCCAGTTATTCCTGCTGAAATATTTTTGAAGTAAAAGTAGGGGGAAAGAATACTAACAGACTGGATTCAGATTATAAATAAAACATTGGAAAAATAGAATAATAGATATTATTATATTTTATAGTATTGATTTAAAATTTCAAGAGTTAAAAACATTTTAACATGGCTCATAAATTTACTTAGCACTTTTAGTAGGCAATTCCCTACTCACTTCAATTAAGTAAAACAGAATAAGCATATTAAATTCTTTAGCCAATGCTACTGGCCACTGACCCAAAAAGGCATTCCCCAACATTGTTTAAGAGTTCTCAGCCAAACTCTGTATATTTTACATTCTTGGATTTGACTCTTATTAGCAGGGACAGTTCTTAACTTAGCACGGGATGTAGTGGAAGGTGAATTAGAACTAAGGAAAGTATTATGTGCTGGTCAGTTGCATCCTTAAAGGTCCATGTTGAATCACCAAGGAGAAAAAAGACGTAAGCTAAAACTAGATTACAGCATTTAAATAAAGAGAAATCTGAATTTCTTTTAATAGCTTTTACATTGATAGCCCCAAGTTTTAGTCAATCCACATAATCAGATCATTAAGAGATGTATTAAACTATGAATACATTTACCTCTGATACTGACATTA